CATTAGTGCTGCTATTTGTGTTTTTAATTTCTACTTTTATAGCTCGTGTTGTGTAACTCGGTGTCCCGTCCAATCTTATTTTGATCCCGTGGAATAAGATCAAACCCCCGAGTAAGAAAAGAAAATCTGATGATTTTGCAGCAATCGCAGTCACGATACATGACTGTGTAACAGAAACACACAGCCGTGAGACTTTACATTATCAGACCATAAACCACCAGCTCACAGCAGTCAAAGCTCTTTATGAGCTGGTTTTAAACATCCCAACACTGCAGAGCTCCATCATGAAACACACTGCTATGGTAAAATCCTTACAAACATTCCCAGCATAGCCTCCAGTTCTCAATAATCATCTCCCAGTTATTCCCAGCAGGGGAGTAAATTCAGTATCTCAAGAACAAGAACCTACAGCTGTTACTTTAGATGCTGTGGAGCATAAACAACCCATGAAGATCAGAACAGACTTTTACAGCTTTTTATATGAAGGGAATACATCCTGAAGTAGGTCAGCCTGCAGTGTTTTGATCAAGGACGCTTGGGTTGGGATGGTCCAAGTTTCTCTGCAATAACTTTTTCACAACGCCACAGAAGCCTAACAAATAGTCACACTGGGATTTGAAATCTGAATCTTGTCTTCATAAAAAGAGCTGCACAGCAGATATTTCACATGACATGAAAGCTCTGCAGATTTCATTTCAGCCAAGTCACAGCAGAATGAGAAGTTGTTGAGGTCACCAGCTGATGTTTACCTTGGTGGAGACATGCAGGTATGGATGCTGTTGTCTTTTACAGTGCAACATGTCCTGCTTATTTGAATGACAGTCATCTTTATCAAAACAGCTTGTTCATGTTGTGTGTTTCTGTTTTGATATTGTTATCGGATTCTCAGTTATTACTCAGACTACTGGCCCCACAAAAAGAACTGGTCGAAAATAAATCTCCACTACATGTTGTTGAATAGTTCTTATATTTAACTAAAACAGTGGAAACATTCTTATGAAGTTCTTNAAAAACATGGATTCACTTCAAGCTAGAGATAAAAAATGTTAATATTTTTGACAGACATCATGATTTAGAATTGTACTTCTAGTTTCTTTCTGTTTCAGTGAGAAAAATGTAAAAATGCTGACGTGATTTTTGCTGCGACGTGTATCAAACAGAACCAACCAGCGTGTTTAGTACCAAACAAATCTGGAAAATGTGATTTGTAGCAACATTTAAACATCATCAAATAATTACTCCCGCGATCTGGGTGTTGCAATTGAGAAAGAGACAGACAACCAAGCACACTCACATTCACACCTACCAACAATTTAGAATCACCAGTAAACCTCAACATGTGTTTGGACTGTGTGGGAGGAAGTCGGAGAACCTGGAGAGAACCCACGCTGCACGGGGAGAACGTGGAGACTCCACGCAGAAAGACCCCAGACCCAATGTGAGTGCTAACCACAGAGCCACCGTGCTGCCCCCCAAGTTGTATTAAATTAATTCAAATGGCTTGATAAAATACTTTTTCTCCTCCTTAACAACCTAAAAACATGTGTTAATGCTTACTCCTTGAACTTAATATAGTAATATACTAAATACAGTTTCTGTAGAAGTTGTCAGAACTAAAAAAAAAAGACTGATACGATGATATTTTTTTGGTTGTTCATCTTAAACATTAGTGTTTAGGGGGTGTTTTTTTGATCAGCTAATAATTTAATGTGTGAAAAAATATATATATATATAATATTGCTGCTGTTTTTACTTAAAGTCAAAAGCATATAACATGCAAAATAAACTACAATGAATTATATTTATCCTTTAGAGGGTTGTCTACGGAGTCAGATTGATGCCACTATAAAATAATAGATCCAATATATTAATCAGAATTTCTAAAATATTAAACAAATATAAGAATTTGAGAGAGAAAAAACTCACTAAAGCAAGTAAAAGTAATGTCAAAAGTAAATCTTATGAGTGACGCTTATAACAACATGGAAACTCCACAGAGACAGGCGACAGTGAGAATCACTGCCCCTCACATCTAATATATTCAATGAATCACATGTTGTTACAGTCGAGTGTGATGAAACACTAAATGGTGGATTTACTGTCACTTACTCAAACTCTGCTGTTGAGAAACACGTCTGTCAGGTTGTGGCTGTTCTGTTGATGTCGAAAGCCGCATTTAGACGTATGTGAGGAGGTTACATCACACCTACATTAAGTCTTGTCTGAAAGAGGCTGCCCAACTCGGCAATGGCAACAGAATGTGGGAACACTCTGAGCGTTTCTGACGGAGGGGAAATTGCTAAAAAAACTAGATTAGAGAAGTTCAAGAAGAACTCGACAGGCTTCTCCTTTTGTAGCGAAGACTGGTTTCATGTTTGGTGGAATATCACCAAGTTTGCTAACAACCAGGTGAAACAACTTCTTTTAAACTCCGACGTTTAGGACTATTTAGTTACTTCCTAACTTGTCAGGATCCCAGCCTGCTTGAAAATGATGTGAGTTGTGATAAGTCAAGGAAGTGGCTGATTTTTCTTTTCCTTATATAACCAACAGTAGGTGTCAGCTTTCTGGACCCAAACAGCCAACGTATTCAGAATCCTAAATAAATCTGCTGTTAACTGTGAAACAGCAGCATTACTCAGGCAGCAGCTCTCATTCCTCTGAAACGCTTAACTGATCCTTATGATGATGAATGGGGACTCCCTGCGTTTACAAATGTTTTCTTTCATTAATCTGATGAAATGGATCAACATCACCTGCTGCACTCAAATCACTTCAACCTGCACATCAGCAGGAGTCTGACTGAAGGCTGTAACAACCCAGGAAGACGCTGTGTGGTCTGAGGCTTCTGTATTAACTCAGCTTACTTCTATCTTTGATCATTGCTGCTGTTAATGTGACTCTCAGGTGACTGGTCAGTGTTATTTAGTCAGACCAACAACAGCCCAGTGAGTGATGATGTGCTTCACATCAAATTAGTCTGCTAATGTAATAAGGAGCAACGTGGTTGTAGATTATTAGTCATGTCTGTGGTTGTAGTTAGTATTCAGTTCCTCTGCATTTCACAGAGACATGACCTGATTCCTGTTAGTAATTCTACTTCTTATTGCTGTCGTTGCACTAGAACATCTACTGGTTGCTCTCGTTTTCAGCTCGGTGGAGGCCGGAGTAGGAGCCTCCCTGTATGATTCATAGGTTACTTGAATTACAAATTAAACAGTAAAAATACACACAGCAAACAAGCTGCAATCATCCACAGCAAATAACCTGCAACATTAGTAATCGTCACAGCAGTTTATATCAAAACTGTCCTTCTGACTTGTTCACTGTGGTTAGTCTACCGGCTGCTCAGCTGGAACTGATGTCCACAAACACTCATGCAGCAACTTTATCAGTCCAGGAAATCTGTCAGGATTTACTGCCACCTCTGAAAAGTATTTATTGTCAGAGCAGATCATCAATGTTGTTGGAAGCCTGCTATTAGCGTCCTGCTGCTCCTGAAAGTTAACAGTCTTAGCAGCTACAGCTGCGCTCTCTTTGAAAAGCCTTGCTTAGCGTTAACATGAAGCTCAGACAGCTAGTTAAACCTTTTTTACAACTTTATGCAGAGTTTATGCACACCATGCCAGACCAGTCAGCAGTTAGACAGCAAGGAGATACGCCTGTTATGAAGTTCCACAGGGTTCTGTGTTAGGACCAATGTTATTTACTTCCAATAATGTTGTCCAGTGTTGCAGATGACACCCAGTTATATTTCTCTATAAAACCAAAGGAAACCAATCACTTAGTCAAACTCCAGGCATGTCTGAAGGACATAACAGCCTGGATGATTGATGATCAAGATTTGTCCTTAAATATTAGTCTATGCATTTGTAACTTCTAGGTTGGACTATTTTAACTTCTTATTGTCAAGATGTCCCAATAATTCTCTTAAAAACCTCCAGCTGATACAAAATGCTGCAGCCAGCGTTCTGACAGGAACCAGTAAGAGAGACCATATTTCTCCTGAACTACTTTCTTGTCACCAGCTCCCTGTAAAATCCAGAATAGACTTTAAAATCCTCCTCACATATAAAGCTCTTAATGACCAGTTCTATGTTCTATGTTATCTTAAAGATCTTGCTGTACCCTATATATATATATATATATACTGTATCCTAACTAAGCTCTTAGCTTTCAGACTGCAGGTTAACTTGTGGTACCCAGAGTTTCCAGAAGTAGAATGGGAGCCTTCAGTTATCAGCTCCTCTGATATGGAATCAGCTCCCAGTTCGGGTTCAGGAGGCAGACACCCTCTCTACTTTTAAGATCAGGCTTAAAACTTTCTTCTTTGATAAAGCTCATAGTTAGAGCTGCTCAGGATCACCTGAGCTGTCCCTTAGTTATGCCGCCATAGGTTTAGATTGCTGGAGAACTCCCAATATGCACTGGGCTGATCTCCTCTCTCTCTCTCCTACAGATCATCACACAAGAAAACTTAAGGTGTTACACCCCAAAGCACACACACTGAGACACATAAACGAAGACACACACTGTGTGCACAGCGGCAGAAGTACATTGAGTTTGTCTTGAAGGAATCTTGAGTTACTTTGGTGTCTAATGCATATTTTCTTGTTTTGTGTCTATTAAAGGGTTAAATGGCTCAGAATGGGGCATCCATCAGCAGCATGTGGCAACACACGCTCTGCCATTCTCCAGTGTTATGTGCAGCCTCTAATCAGTGTTGATTCCACTGTTATGAATGCACCCAGTGGTGAGTCTCTTCTGTCAGAGGAGGATTTGGCGAGTAGAATAAAAGCTGCTGTATAGTTTCGACAGAACTTTACTACTCTGTTAAACATAACTGCTTTTGTCTGGTCTCATGAAAATGCAAACCGAAGCAGATTGTAAAGGCAACTCTTCTCTCACTGCTGACCAACTCATCTTCGTCTAAACACCAGCAACGGAATGAGACGTGCGTTAGATGTACCAGAAAGAAAAGCAGCTGGTTTGTCTCTTACCTTCTGCAGCCACTGCGTGTTGTTCTCCATCGTGCTCTCCAGGTGCTGCAGTTTCTGAGCCGACCATTCACCGTCTACAGGCGGCGAGTCTCTCTGCACGACGCTCGCTCCGCCACGAGAGCCACCATATTGCTCGGTCTGCGATGGTCCTCCTGCGCCCTGGCATCCGTCCAGCTCCGGCAGGATGAAGGTGTAGCTGCATTGGCCATGTTGGATGCGGTGAAACCTCCTCCTCTTCTCTGAACCTCCTCCACCTCCTCCTCTTCTCTGGCTTCTTCCAGCTCCTCCTCGTTCTGCACTCGCGGCACCGGCCGCATCGGTGGCGGCTGACAAGGTCCAAAGCAGCAGAAGAACCAGCAAACCCCGGCTGAGATTTAAGCCTTTCATGACACGCTCTTCACCTGTGTTTAAATGTTTTCGCTCTGACGAGAGGGTCAAGAGAAGCTCAGTCACACGTTGACCCTGGTTCACTTTAGGAAAGCATCCGTGTGCAGGAGTTTCTGCACCTGACAATCAATCCATGAGTCTGAGCCTGTAACAAAATCTCTTGAGTGCGTTTGTCTAAATTTCAACTGATCACTTTCCTTGTGGAGCACAAGTAGCAGAAAGCAACACCTGTTCTCTCCTCAGCTGCGGCAAAGAAGCTCATCCGCTCTTCTGTCTTCTCTTTTGGGTGTTAATTTTGTTCCCTGCGCTGTTGATGAAAACTTTTCAGGGTGGGTCCATTGGCTTGACATTGAGCAGGTCTTTGAAATTCCCTCCTGTCCTCAGCGGTGAAGATCCAAATCCACCCAGGAAAAAATGTGGATGAAGAGAAAGCTGAACAGATAATAAAGGGAGTGGAAGCAATGTGAGGATGATGAAGAGTGATGCCCAAAGTGGAGATGTTTAAAAAGCAATATGGGAAGATTTAAAAGCTGCATGTAAATAAAAGGCTTCTGAAATGGACCGCTCTATCCTCAAATGTCCAGAAATAAAGGAAAACAGAAGAAAATAAAAGATGATAAAAGAAAACTCCCACTCTTGTCTGGTGGCTCCAGTTTCAGAAGTGGCTGAAGAGAGTTGCTTCTGCCCCCTTCTTATCTGGGGCTGGCTGAGAAAAGGAGGAATGAGCGAGGGAGGGAAGAGGGGGAGGAAGAGGAGGAGAGAGAAAAGACGAAGGAGAGGGAGGAGTGGAGGGACAGGAGACCTGAGGGAGGTCTATTAGAGTACCCTCTCTATTTGTGGGCTGAGGCAAAAAAAAAAAGGAAAGAGACGAAAGAAGGAATGAACCAGAAAAAGGGGAAGATTAACAGAATAAAAAGGGAAGGGAGAGGGAGAAGCTAAAAGAGAAACAGCCAGATAAGAGAAGGAGAGGGTACAAAAAGAAACTCAAGTAGGAAAGACAAAAAGAACCTGAAGAAAGAGAGATCTTAAAGTGGTGCAGTAGCTGCTGTGATCTTCTTTCTTGACTAATCTTTCAGTTCTGAAGTAAATCTTGATGCCTTGTATGGGCATTCATGCTGAGTTGGCAACTAGAAGCTGGAGAGATTTTACTTTGTCCTCTAAACACAGCCATGCTCTGGGGCATCATGGGAGATCACTGGGCCAAGGCAAACCACACAGCCCACGTACTTTAGGTTAAAAAAAAAAAAAAAAGAAGCTGTCTCTCCGTCGCAGGATGTACCTCCTCACTGCCTCTCATCTGTTCAGCCGCTCTTCCCTCTACATGGAAATACATACAGAGATTAGTTCCAGACAGATGGCTTGGTCCCAGGCTTATGAAAAACAAGCTCTCCATGTCAGTTGTCAATTACTGCGTTTATTTGCACAGTGATAAACTGTACTGCAGGAGTTGACCGATACAAATGTGGATGAAATTCTTAAGAAAAGCCACGAGATAAGAAGCACACTTATGGATTTGTGCAGGAAGATAAAAGTGTGTTGAGATAAAACCATTCTGTTTGGAAGATTTTGTTCCTGCACTATCCACTTTTTAAAAAAACATACGCTGCTCTCATGGTTTTACCACCAACAACTTATTTATTTTGACATAGTACAGTCGTATTTTCAGCGCGGCCTGACCTCCATCTACTGTTACTGCTGCGGCATACATCTTCATTTTTGGCGGGGGCGAGACGCTCACTTAAAGTTAGCCAATTGGTCCTCAGGGGGAAAGCAGAGAGGTTACACAGTGGCTTCTGCCCCAACTGGAGATCATTCTCATGGGAACAGGGGTGGACGGAGAGCCTGGTGCACAGAGCTGCAGTACATAGAGCCACCATCATGCTCAAAATGTTGCTTTTTTGTGTTTTAAAAAAGGAGAAAGACTCATTGAGGATATGTTTTTCACACATTATTATCCTTTGAGCATTCAATCAAAGAGTACATGCTGCATGAAGAAAAAAAATCCTCATTATTTGAAGTAAAAAGCCATCATTTAAAGTTCTCTGTCACATCTAACGCTCATTTCTCCATCCATCCATCCATTATCTATACACGCTTAATCCTCACTAGGGTCACGGGGGGGCTGGAGTCTACCCCAGCTGACTCAGGGTGAAGGCAGGGGACACCCTGGACAGGTAACCAGTCTATCACAGGGCCACACTTAGAGACAGACAACCAAGCACACTCACATTCACACCTACGGATAATTTAGAATCACCAATTAACCTCAACATGATTTTGGACCTTGTGGGAGGAAGAACCCGGAGAGAACCCACGCTGCACGGTGAGAACATGGAGACTCCATGCAGAAAGATCCCGGGTGTCCTCATCCTAAGATGATGTGAGAAAAGATGGGCTTTAATTTATCTGTTTTCATTTGCCCATGTGTGTAACAGGTTTTAATTATGTCCTCATTTATTCGTGGACAGTTTTTATTTATAGATTACAGATGGCTCACACAGCACCATACAAAGCTCTAACAATACTAGAGTCGACTAGTCCAGTGGTTGGTTGATGTGCTCTCAGCCAACCACATTCTCAATGGCTGAACAGTTGTCGGTGCTACTTTCATGAGGAGAAAAGCTCTGCATCAACAGGGTTAATCAGTTATTTTTGGCAGCAGGAGGAACAAACTATTATGTGTGGCAACCATGCGGGACGTGGCTGCACCTCCACCTTCTGATGACACCACACAGCCTGCTTTATGTGCAGTTGATGGAAACAAGCCAGACTTGCATTTTGTTTTTCCATAGTTGCACATGTTTGCAAATCAGTTGACAATTATATTTTTTTTAAAAAACAGCTACTCTCTTGTTTTGACTTGTGAAGCTCAGAAGTTTTGGTGTCTTGATTGCTCTGTTTCTGAGCTGATCAGCCGTCAGTCTGGGCTGCTCATTCTCTCTGCTTTGTTTCTGTAGCAAAGACATGAGGAGACTCTATGAACACATCTTCAGTTGTTGTTAATTTATAAGTTAATTCACAACTCCATCAACACAATTTCAGTTCTGTGCACATTTCATCAATCCAGACCCAGTATGACACATTATGAAATTTCCTTTTTTGAAATAAATTCTCTGCTGATCAATAAATGCTTCGTGACGTTGAACGTTCACAGCGATTCCTGGATGAACGTGGTTTTAATGTGGCTTATTTCCATGTTGTTAACAGCACCATCATTGCAAAGTTATTACTTATTTTGTACATTCAGAATGTGCCTCATTTTCTACAGTACACAATTTCCGCAGCAAGCGTAAATGTAAGAATATCTGTGAGTCATAAATAATCATGGACTAACTTTCTGAGGCTTCGTACTTGCCCAATCACAAGAGATATGTTCAGGGGTCACACTGACGCAACTTGAATGTACTTTGACAGCCTGGACTGTCTTGAAATTAAATGTATGTTGCTTAAAAGTTACACGTGAGTTGATCAACTGGTGTCACTAACTGTCCTCAGACCTTGAAATAAAATTAGATGCAGATCTTTAAGTTTGAGAACCCCCTCACTCCTGAACAGGTACAGTGTAAAGGAAAAAATTAATAAAAATAGTGAAAATCTGGCAGCAAGAATAAAAAAATAAAAAATAAAAATAAAAACCCTGTGAAATACTGCAATGCTCAAAAACTGTAAAAATGGTGAAAACAACTTTAAAAATATCTGTAAAATAATGATATTAAATTCGTAAATCTGTGTAATTTTATTAGAATGACTGTTAAAAATACAAATTTTTGATACGATCATTATGTACAGTTGTGAGATGTTAATTTTTTTTGTTTTATTTCGTTTTGTTTTCAGTTAAAAAAATAAATTAATG